GGCGAGTCGTGTGCAGCTCTACTGTCTGAACTCGGTCGGACCTACAATTTAGCGACTCAACTCCATCTTGTTTTTTCAAATTTAAATTGAATCGATTTCTGCATCCATAGTGTGAAGCTGCGAAACTTGTTCTGGTGTTTTCTTTTCTTTTGGTTGGTTTGGTCTTTTTCTTTTCAGTTTTGGTGCGTCTGTGTATTCAACAATCACCACAGCAGTCCCTTTTCCACCCTGACGGGCCGGACGCATAAATATGAATTTATGAAAGGATTTCACGCTGTCAGTTTTCCCGAGTCCCGGTCCCGTAGTCCCAATTGGAACAGTCATACCATGTGAAATTGTGAATATTTTGAAATTCTTGCGTTGTTTTGGCGAGACGGCCACGTCAGTGCTCCAATTTTACTGGTGACCATGCATACCATTTGTGCAGTTGAGCACTGGGGTATGCGTGGTAAAATGTCGCCACAACAACGGTAAAACAACCCCTTTCCCACCCACATGAGTAGACCCAAAATTGAAACTGCAAAGGGAGGATTAAAAATAAAAAATAAATAAATTTGAAAAACCGAAATAAAGAAAAAACTTCCTAAAAACGCAAAAAAAGAGAGAGAGCAAAAAGGAAGGAAGGAGAGAAGAAAGAAAAGCGGGCAGGGGGGGGGGGGGGGGGGGGGGGGGGTGGAGGGGAGGGAATATATATTGTGCAGTTCGTTCTTCCCTTTCCTTACTCTGTCTTTTTTGTTTCTCTCTCTCTCTCTTTTCTCTCTCTTTTATTTCTTCTCACAGATTCGCTTTTACTGTGCCTCTCATGTACAAGGCTCGCCCCTCGAGCTGCCCACATCCCCGTGTGTTTCCCATAACGGCCCACTTGCATGCTACGAAAAGGAGGCCGAGCAAAGGGAAGGGTATATCGTGTCTGCTCTCCTTATGATGCCCATTCCTATGCCTTTCATAGTTCTGCACGGTTGGAGGGAGGAGGGAGTAAGGGCAGCCTGAGGGGAGGAGGGACATAGCGGGGAGGAAGAAACAGAACAGGGAAATCGCGAATTTCAAGGGGTTCTGAGTAGCTCACGTCCCGGGCAGACTACTATAGAATGGCACAAGAGGCTACTGTCTTCGCCCGAATAGAATGCCCCGGTAATCATCGCTGTATCTGGACTGGAAGTTGCAGCCCCAAATACAGCTATAATGACCGGGCGTTCTATTCGGGTGAAGACGGTAGTCAGCAATTTGGGTGGCCGATAATGGGAATGATACAGAGAAAGGAGATTAGCGTGCCCCCCCTGCACAAGGATGGCATGCATAAATCGACAACTGGTCGAAAGTTCTCAAAACTATACAAAATACAAATAAAAATTGAGGACTGGGTGTTGGCTATGATTAACGGCCACCCCTGTAGACCGTACACACGGCGTACAGGACGCAGTTCAGGCGTGAACTGTGGAAACACCGCATCCAATTCTCGCAGTTGCAGTTGCAGTTGCTACGTCGTATGGCGCAGCAACATAGACAGAGGTCACAGGCAACATGTGTACTGCATGCTATGAACACAGAAGCCCGCCAACTGCAATTGAATGCTAGGCATTGCAGTTCAAGCCCCTGTGTACAAATAGGACATGCTATATATGTCAGGGGATCATACATGACTACAATCATATCATAGAACAATGTTTACTGAACTTTACTCATCCTACGTAATATCAAAACAAAGAGTTTCTTGGGCTTTATACCCTCGTAATCCTCACGACACAAAGCATGGCAAATTGGCAATCACATGCTACCCAAATTTCAGGTGGGGGAGGGGGGGTTAAGTGCTGAAAATAAAGAGGATACTCCCAAGGAGGAGGGGTTTGTACGAAATCCTTTCCCCAGTCAATTGGTAGAGCACAATTTCGGAGCAGTAAATCTTTCACAATTGAGTGCGCCGAGTATGCCGAGAGGACATCTCACAGGGAAATGAGCGCCAAACACCATGCTAAGCCCAGACGGATTCTAGCAGAAGCGGTAATCAAAACCCCTGCAGTGCAGACAAGAAGCAAGAGCAATACCAAATTAGTAAATTACTCAATAAACTTGAATAAAGTTACAAGTTACAACGTAAAATTAGCAAATGAACTATGCAGCAAGCATGGCCCGATATCCTGACCACCTTTTCCATGCAGACAACTTCATCCAGCCAGCTGAGTTTTTCCGGGCGAAATCGGATAAACATAGTCCGCCCCAGCGCAAAACAGACTACTCTGCTTTCGAAAAACAATCACGATGAAAAAAGCATCTGGAAAACAATTACACCCTAAAGGGTGACGATGCGAACAAAATAGACTTCTCTGCCTGAGGGTCCCCTCGAAATGCCTGGGAAGTTAGTAACGGAATTGAGAAAAAAAAACACTTGTACTCACAAGTTAATAATCACTACTCATTGACTAGAAGATGTAGGTCAAGTAGTTTCCCCAACCTGAAATCAACAGAACCAAAGCACAGATGGTCCTAGCCCAAAAGAAGATAGCTTTGTGTCGCGGTTCAGGGCCTGCGAAATGGATTACAGACTGCAATGATGTTCCTGTCCAAGAGAGGGAACATCTGGCAGGGCTTCATGTCTGCACCCATGTGATAACCCGTCCAAACATCGACTGAAACACACAGCTGATTTCTGAGTTTTGCTCATAGACTGAATGCCCGACTGAGTTCCCGCCTGCTAAGTCTGTGTGTGTGCGTGCTTGCTGGACTGCATGTCTGTCTGAGTGCT